GGGGGGGGGGGGGGGGATGGTAAAAAAGTTTAAAGATGGAAAAGGAAGAGTGAAAAGACTTGGAAAATTTGTCATGCAAACCTGCCTATAATCTATTTGGGTTATTCAAGAGAAGGCTAAAAATGATTCAGTCACAACCGATAACCACCCATATGGGGTGAAGTCTGATAGCAGAGGTGTTTTACGTATAGCCCATGAACATTGTAACGAGGTCTAATAATTACAGACTTAATGCTAGAAGAATTTAGGCTAGAGATAAGGATCTGAAATTGAATAATGTCCAGGGTTATTCCTTTTTTTCTTTTCCCACTCTGTCTCTTCCAGTGTTTTCCAAAGTTGGAGAAATTTGGAAGGACCAAAACAAAAAGAGAGAGAAGGAGAGGGGAAATGGTTAAAATTCATTCTGTTGCATACAGTAGTCAGAAATATATAGAGAGGAAAATTGGAAATTTAAATTTGAGGCTTTGAAAAAGCAGATTATGTTAGCAGATGCAAAATGAGAATTTCTATTTGAATCCTTTTGAAATTTTGTTGAGGACATTTACAGTTTTGTGGGAAGAAAATTAATACAATAGAGCAAGGTAGAGAAGAGGGGCTGGCCCCAGGCTGACCTGTTCCCTTAGGCTAAAATTCTTGTGCACAATCCTGGCCCCACTGAAGTCAGTGAGCAAACAACCATTGGAGTCGGTCAGGTTTTCGCCACTTGTTTCTAGTCCATGTGGCTTGCAAGGTATTGGACAGAAGGGCAGTGCCATTTTGATATCTAGGGAAGCTGTTACAAATGCAAGACTGAATCTTAATGGTCCTTTATTTTGGCCCGTTAATTTTAAGGGAGAAATTTCCCATTTTGATGGGAAATTGGTCTCTTTATCAGCAGCTGCTTGAACCTGCTCAGAGGCTTGCAAAGCTGGAATGATTCTTATGGGGATGGATTTGTGGTCTGGGGAAGGAAATGAAGATTTATTTATAATGTGGCTTTGCACCTTATAATATAGCTATCGCAGCTGTAGGTAGAATATACATAATGAACCTGATCCGTTGCCTAAGTATTTCAGGCATTCCCTACATCTGCTACAGTCTTGGCTCTGAACCTGCTACCTACAGACATTTCATTTTATGAATAGACCAATTGAAGTTGCAGTAATATACCTTGGGCTCTTTGGAGGAGAGAGGTTGTATAAATAGCAGTCCCCTTCTCATTCTAATTTTCTTGGTTTGTTTGTTAAAAGACTCAGGAGAAAACTTGGTTAGAATAAATAGCATGGTCTGTTTGAGTGCACAGTAGGTGTGGTCTTGAACAATAAGGAGGAAAAATCTTAGATGCTAGAATTGTTTGCTTTTGTCCCCAATTCCTCTCTTTCCCATTGTTTGTAGGAAAATCCGCAAGCTGCTTTCATCTTCTGAAGCTAAGCGAGCCGCCAGACGCCCTTACAAACCAATTATCATCCGGCCAATCCAGGCAGTGCCGTTACGCCAGCCCATGAACGATGAACCCATAATCATTGAGGATTAATACAAACTGAGTGGCCCTTGGAACGATGGTGGATCTGCTTGAAAGAATCTCTCCTTGATGTATACTTGAGTTTTTATTGGCTACAGCATTGAACTAACTGCTGAAGAGAGGGAACCTTTGAGGAACTGTTTTGCATCTTTTAAACACTTAAAAGGAACTCAGTCCTGCTCTGAGCCTTGATGACCACAGACTGCTCTCTCTCTTTCTTTCTCTTTTGCGCGCGCTCTGTCTTCTCTTCCTTTTTTTATTTTTGGTAGCCTATTTTTCCCCCTTTGCTTCTACCCCTTTTGTAGACAGGTGGGAGGGAAAGTAAGTTTAACTTATTAAGAAAATGTGGAATAGTAATTTTTAGCTTTCTGTTTCCTCTTCTGATGTATGAAGAGCTAGAATCCTTCATTTTGTGACTGAGCTCTCGTTGCTAAGCCGTTTTTATAAGGCTGTGTTGTAAGATTTTTTTTTTTATTTTGTGGACAGTGCCATTTTTTATTTCATTTATATTATTTCTTTTGTAGATAAATTTCCAATCTGTAACTCTGATATTTGGAAATAGGATCTGAAAGCCAGCCACAGGTTCAGCTAGTTTTCTTGGTCCTGTCCCTTGTGTTTTTTGGATAATTTTGCACGGCCAATTCCACTTGTGCTCAAGCACAAGTCAGAAACAACTCAGGCTGAGGAAGGAGCGAGCTAAGGACTGAAGAATCTTGCAGAACATTACACTAACATTGAGCAGCTGAAGCCAGGCTACTGGAATGAGCTGTTTTCTTTTGTTTTTTATCCCAGTCAGTCCCAGCGGGGTCTGGCTCGTGGCATTTCTCTCAATAACCAGCAGTTTGTGTGCTGCCTTCTGTCTGACATCTGGAAACCTACGTGCTGTTATATCTACCAGGACCAGCAGTAGGCCCTCCAGTTCAGCAAGTGTAATGAATTGCTTTGCTCTGGCTCCAAGAGTCAAGTACACCAATGCCCAGGGACATTTTGCTTAGAATACTGAACCTGTTTGTGCATCAGTGTTTTTTGGACACATCTCTCCAGGGTGAACCTGGTTTCTGTTAAACTGCATTACTGTACATTTCCCATTTTGAAGGGAATTTCAAGTTAAATTACAGCTGGGTTTTCATTTGAACACACTGTGTTTGAAATTAAGTGTTTTCCCTTTGACATTTCTTGTGTTTTTGAGGGGTTGGTTTTTTTTGCATCTCCTGAACTTATTATGTATTTGCAAGTCTGTATAACTTTCTTTTTCACATGTCTTCTCATTGCAGTGCATTTGCAGAGTGCCCTGCTTTGTTTTGAAAGGATGTAAACTATAATTTGCGACTTGTGCTGATCTGTACATGTACCTGCCTCAAGCAGACACAGCATGTAAAACCCCCAAGTCATTCCATATGTGTCAGCAGTGAGATGAGCCAAAGTTGTATTTGGGTTATCACAGTCCAGCCGTGATTCTGTGCAACACTGCTAGCCCAGCAGGGTAGGCAGAAAGGAATCCCCACAAAATGAAATCAATTCAGTTAACTTTACTTAATAAACCTAGAAACTGAGCTTTTTGTGAAACCTGCTTTTTGTGTCTGTTCTGAAATCGAGAACTTTGCCTTTGCCAAGGCGCCATCCAGCTGTAAGATGTGGAGTTGTACCTGCTTCCTAGAAACTGATTTGACTTGACAAGTATTTGGATAATGGTGCTGATATGGAGGGAGAGAGATGCCAATTTCTTCACTTTTATTCTGCCTCTTAGCTTGCCATGTGGGGCAAGACTAATTCCTAATTTTGATCCCACCAGCATGCTACGTAGAAACTTCTAATTTATCAATATCTCAGTTTGACTCCAAAAGTGCTGTCCTTGCTAAAAATTGAGACTCGAGCCTGTTGCACGTGGTGACTCATACATCTCCCTGATCAGAGGCATGAGCCTGACACGTGGCAAAACAGAATCCCAGAGGGTTAACATTTGAATATGTTGACATTTAAATACTTCACTTTCACATTAATTCATTCCTAGATTAAGCAAAGTTAATTCAAGTGCAGAGCTGATTGGCTTTTCAATAGCAACACAATCCCAGTAGCTTGTAAAGTTTGTGTTGCTACCAAATACTTAAGATGTATCCTCCACTCCTTATATGTCTATGCTTCTGTACCTATTGCTTCCAAACAAGGGGCTGAAGGAAAAACTAGATTTGAAAGATAGGCATGCCTGATAACCCGGTATTCCTGCAGCCCTTTAAATGTGTTCCTGCCCCAGTGCTAAAGAACAAATTCTTGCACTAGCAGGAGCCTTGCTTTTGCCTTCCATCCGCAGATGGAATAACCAGAATGCTCTTCAAGTGATGTGATGTCAGGCTGCTAACTAAGGAAAGGTCTTACAGGATTTGATTTTTTCCCTTTATAATGAGATCAGCAGCCTGAAGTGATATATTCTAGGAACAGCGAAATCAAGTCCTCATCAACCATTTTGAAGAAGTACCTTAGTGTCTGTCTCATGCTGTAAGTAAGGATTATGGCTGCTGCCACTATTGTGCCTGAGTACTATACTGTGCCACATCTACTCTAACATCAGCCTGTGTTCAGAGACTTCAGGAAAGGTCGCAAAATTTGGAAGAGATTTTGGTTTTCAGTGGACAAACTACATGTAATAGCTTAAAGTGACCACTTGAGGGTGCCAAGTCTGCAACTTCAGTGATTTGAGCACCTTCCAAAGCTATCTTAGCTTTAGATGCTACTCTGATGGTTGGAATTTGGATCAGGCAAATCACTGGAGACTATCCCAGATGATAGACCTCTAAGGAACACACAGTGTCACTTAACATGACTTCCCTTGCCTTTTGCTATTTTGTGGTAGATTGTACTTAGCTTGTGGCTTGGGGCTTATAACAGTGTGGGGTGAGGTAGGGTGGGGTGATGCTTTCTCTCAAGAAATGAACTATACTGAGAGTCATGAGCAACAGCCAGATACCAGAAGAGGCTGCCTTTTCATTTTTATGCTCTAATGCAGGGGGTTTCAACTGGGGGTACGCATACCCCTCGGGGTACTTTGGAAGGCCCCAAGGGGTACGCGACAGTGGCGCGGAGAAGCCAGCGGCACTTCCGGTTTCGCTTGTCAACTGGCCGTGGGGGGTACTCTGACCAAAAAAGTTTGGAAACGCCTGCTTTAATGCTTCCAACAAGCAAGCCACTGTTGTTATGGGTAACCTTGGCAGGCCAGCTGCCACAGTGAACCCAGTCTACTTCCCTACTCTTTCCAATGGTCTGTCCTCCCTCTAAAGGGGCTTTGAAAACCTCATGCTGTTGTTTAGGCCATGAAAAGAGGTGTACAAGGCAGAAGCAACTCATCTCTGGAGTTTCCAGTAAGCCCAACTGCCATCACTGAGATGATATTCTTGGCTTTCAAGTCTTCCTAAGCTGGGTGCCAGGGAGCAACTCTTCAGGTAATCTGAGGATACTTTCAATTACATGAAATGAATCTGTTGGCCTTGCCCATTAAGAGATGATGCTGGTGATTTCACGTGCATGTGGCCCTCTTAAGTCGAACTTGTGTGCCAAGGAAATGAAGAAATGGAGAGGGAACAAAAGGCCAATGCGACTGGAGTGACTTGGATGCTTTTCTTCCTGTGTTTCTCACTAGGCCCTGTTACTTAAATTGCATCATTTTAAGATTAGCTTTGGGGCAAGGGAATGCCTGCATGTGTGTGCGTGCGCACACACATGTATACATGCATGCACACAAGGTAAAATGCAACTTATTGCTGCCAAGTGCTACTATGTAGTCATCAAATGTTTGCTTCAGTCAGTCACAAGCTAGCAGTTAGGTGAGCACTCTTATGTGCCCAAAGGAGATTTTTCTTTAATCGTGCATCTGTGGCATACCTGTTCTTTGCTCAGTCCATTCCTGTTGCTTTGCAAAATGAAAAGTAATTGTTCTGAAACTTCTCCCAGTGTGTAGGGTTATACCTCCATCCTAGCTTTGTCCACCGGTGATGGCGTACACAGCCATGAGGGTTACTGCAGACTTGCAAGCTTGAGGGGTCCTGGGACTTGCAAGCTCAAAAGTAGTAGCTATTTAGAAGTTTGGTCTGAAAACTGGGGTTTTTTTCTGTAATGAAAATTGATTTTTGCTGCAATTGCAGCATCGTTTCAAGTCCTTTAAAGAGAGAGTTATATCAGCAGCATAACTGAGGGGTGAGCCATCAGCCATGGGCACCAACTTAAAGGGGCTGTCAGTATGACCTCTTCTCCCAGCAGTCTTTGCTATGGCAGCCACACCCCTGTTCAACTTGGGTGTAGGAGCCGGACAGGTACAGGCCTGTGCCTAGTCATGTAGCTGGGAGAAGGGTGGAATAGTGCCACTCCTCCCCCAGGAGGCTTTGCTACGGGAGAGACATGGCGTGGGGGGTGCAAACAAGGCACCAGAAGCAGCCCATGAGAACCCACTCCACAGCTTCTCCCCCAGCAGCAGGAGTCTGAGCATGTGCTGCTACAGCCACTGCTGAGGCAGTAGCAGCTGCTGCCCAAGTGATGAGACCTGGATCAGGTAAGACTCTTCTCCCCATTGTGTCTCCCCTAATTCTCCCTTGCTTTCCAGTGGTCACCATAATCTCTTCTTCCCTCCACCTTTCCCACCTCTGCCCTGGGCACTGAAAAAGCTTTGAGTTGCACAAACATGTTTTTAGACTAAAACAAGTTTTGGAATTTTGCATCTAGAATTACTCCAGAATTTCGTGCTGGCTGCTATGTGTTCCCCTGCTTTACCTGTGGTGGGTTAGGGTGTTATGTCTTGTGTTGAGTCCTGGTTGACTGTAGTTTTACGAAGAGGTTAGACAATGGACTTGTACAGTATGGTTTGAATAGGAACGATCCTGCCTCAGGTTGAATTGGATGACCTCCCAATATCCCTCTTTTCCAGCCTGCCTTCTCTACGGTTCTGTGCTAAAATACACATATCATTTAATAAAGTGGCTAATTTAAAACCAGGTTAGACTTGTGGAGGAAGAAAATTCCCTTACCTGTTTAAGAGACAGTACAGGAAAGCACTGGAGAGAGATGCTAGGCTCTATCTTATTCTACCTGTTGGGCATCTAAGCAAGATTTAAGCTTCTAATTTCAATATTGCATAACACCGTGAGGTGAGGGAAGGAGTCCTGAGAGCAGAACTAAAATGATCCATATCTATTGCATTTGTAAAACCAGAGGTGAAATTTGAAAGAGTAGAAAAATGAATAGAGACAAACCTGGGGAGGAGGGGAAAATGAAAGAGACTAAGCAAGAGTTGAAAAGATTCAACCCAGTGTATTGAGACAAAAAATCACCAAAGGATGTGAGAGTAGCAACAGATCAGGAAGGCAGAAGGAAAACTCCATCCTCCCCGTCTCCTGGCTGGGGTAACTGGAGATGGATAGTGTCACACCTGTGTCTCCCTTCCAACCCATCCTTACAACATGGAGGCAGCAGCAAGGTTACCATAGATACAGAAGGATAATACAGTAAGCAAACAACATGTATCTGTGAATTTAGTGACAGGTGGCCGCAAGGGCCTACAGCTTCACTGTGCAGATGCTGAGACACAACCTATATCCAGTCGGTAGAGAGAACATGGTGTTAACTGTCAGCCCTGCAGACTCAGCCTTGGGCTGTGAGTTGAGCTGCCTTTTCTATTGGTGTCCCACCTCTATTAAAGGCCTACAGACCAAATTCTGCATTGCACAGCACCCCAGCAATCCCGCCTTTTAACTTCATTGTCATCCATTTCCAGTGGTGTTCAGTGGAGTTCTTGGATCCAAATGAATCCCTCTGATCCATTCTTATGACAATGCATGCCAGGAAAGTTCAGGCATCTCTTCCATACCAGTGATGACACTACAGCCAGAATACTAGTAAAATACCAGCTAAATCATCTCTGGGCTAAATCTGATATTTGGGAGAAAGAGCCTCCTGCAATTCTACCTTGTTCACTTTCAAAGGAAAACGTACTTTCATGTGACAAACACTTCAACTGGTGCTACCTTAGTACATCCAGCAGCTTTCAGTAGGGCAGACTTCTGAGTGACGGTAAATGTAAATTGACTGTTTCCGTTGCACTAACTTTTTAAAGCAGGCATTTCAGAAAGGTGTCAGTGTTATTCTGGGGCATGTCTGTTTCTGTATATAAGCTGTATTACACACAGTCTAGTTTGTGTGCATGCCTGTGCTCTGGGGGTTGCATACCTTGAAAGACTTGTTGGATGTTTGACTTAGCATGTTTTTTTCCCTACCCCAAAGCTCCATTCTGAATTTTTGAGGGCAGATTCCAGGCAATATCCATGACCTCCCCACCCCACTCCACCACCACACTTACGCAGTTTTCTTTCTTTCTTCTGGGTGATTCACATAGACTTCATTGTATGCACTATTCAGTATTTCTCACTCTCATTTTCTCTCCTGCTGTGACAGCCATATCAGCCTTTTCTGAAATGCCTCCATGTCTCCCAGACTAGCATCACTGATTCTGTATTGCATTATAGGTGGCTTGTTTTGTACATTTGACTGCAACAGGCGATTTGCTAGCATGAAGCTTCCA